CAGTAATATAATTGTGTTTTTTTTTAGAAAATCTTTCATTTATCTGGACTAACAGAATGGTTCAGACTGATTACTTAAACAGAAATGTTAATTAATCATCATAAATGTTTTGCAGTGATTTCTCTTAGAGTCTATCAGAAGGAAAAGCTAAAGAAGAGGTTATCATTCTGTTGTGAACAACCACAGAATTTAACCTTGGCTGGCGCCTGGCTGGCAAAGCTCTTATCTTTCTTCTTTTCCTGACTCATCTTAAGCCTGAGGGCGGAACCAAAGGTTGTCCGCTTCTATTACTAACACGGACACCTTTGAGTGACGGAACACTTCTTCCTGGATGCCGAACTGGGAAGGAACGCTGAGTTTCTCTCCGGAGAAGCCAGCCTGGTCCGTTAGGTCTTGCCCATAAGCCAATTAGGGGGATCTAACGGCCGAGACAGCGGCACGCCGCCGACTTACCCACCTGAGACTACAAGTCTCTAAGTGTTTATAACTCCCGCGGGGAGATTTTGTTTTGAAAGGAGGAACCGGATGCATCAGCTTGAATCTTTCTGGCGAAGATCGAAGCAGACGAAAAGTTGCCTAAAATAACACCTTTTCACCGAGTAACAGTGAGCGGGCCGATCAAAACGTTCCCTGACTGATCGGAGGTGAGCCAGTGACTACCCAGTGTTTGGTTAAGAAGCCGGCACCAGGTAAAACTGACGTGTTCCGGGTGACGTGTCATGTGGAAATCTAAGCGCAGAAAGGACGTGCTGATCTGGTTGTACCACACACTTTACAAAATAAGAGTAGTAGAACACTAATCTTATTTTCATCCTTTCCTTGTCTTTATTTGCCAAAACTTAAGCTAAACAGTGCCTGTAAAATTGTATGGTTGTTAACATCAGAACTGATGTTTTACTGTTCTATATATAAGTAATCTGAGTTTAATGTGAATTAAAATTCGGACGCGAGTTTTATCTCATTTAACTTTGAAGCTTGTTATAGGAAAACCACAATCAGGTGTACTTACCATCTGTTCAATTTGTGTAAATAAATGATTGCATAGTCTTTATGAATCAACTTGAACTCGTCTGAACGTTCCCTTATTGTGTCATTTTTCACTTCGCACAGTCAAGATATTAAAGTAACGAGAAAATACCTTGGTAAAACTTTCCTCATAACCTTGTTATGAGAGTAATGTAGAAAGGCTTATTTCACCATGAGCCTACCTCCTACACTTTCATACCATTTAATTTACAGGATACTGACACCAAGTGTTTTCTTATAGGTCTGTTTAACAACCTGTTAAAATGCACCAGCGTGCAGGAACTGGCATCTATAATAAATTAAAATAACATTTAAAATCATTCATCTACAGAACACGGCAAGTTGTTTTTATATTTTTAATATATTGTTTTTATTTATTTATTTATTTATGGGGGAGTTGTTAAACAGAGAATAATCTTTGCTTTAATATGGGGCGAACAAATGTTCTGTAAACAGTGAATCTCACAGAAAGACTCAGTTTGTGCGCGCAGCAACACGCTCCCATCAGCAGTTTCTCATCAGGAGGAGAGTTGTCGCTCACACAGAGTTGGACAGATCCGTTCGATAACAACATTCTGAACATATATTTAGTATAAATTTAGGTTTAACAGACCAAAATCTCTGGTAGTTCAGGAGCAAAGTGCAGGAGATGTCAGGACTGACCGCTGCAGCCTCGGAAATGTCTGTGGGCGCCCGGGATCTCAACCAAACCTGCTCTCACTGAAAGTCCCGCCCTGCTCTGCTGTGATTGGATAAAATGGCTCTAGACTTCGTCTGATTTGTTGAAGGCAGTGTCTCAGTTTAATCTTTAWATCAGGGTTCCACTGTCCTAAGAGACTTGGTGAGCACGGAACACGATCCAGTCATACYAGTGCGGCTGGATTTTTWWAATTTTGTWTTTTAAAGAAATCAGGTCACTTTTG